TATAAAAGCAGTCCTTTTACCTCCAGAAACAAAACAAAACAAAACCCAGCTCAGCTTCCCTAAGGGCCTCCTGAAAACTGAACTCCCAGTGTGGAGGCTCTGGCCAGCCAGGAACAGCAAACGCTCTAATCTCAGCAGCTTCTAGCATGGGTCTGCTCCAACAGTCTGTAGTGTACATTTGCCCCAAGAGCCAGGGATCTGAGGGCCAGAGGAGGTCCCTGGTGTTAAGGGGAGGCACCATGTCGTTCCTCACCCATATGGAGTGGTGGCTCTTGTCTTCTGTTGAGGCTGCCTGGCATAGAGCCTGGGTGTGGTGGCCACCCCTGGGGACTCCTCTCTGGTGAAACAGAAAACCAAGTCATGATCTTACCTGGGGCTGCACTGGTCTCCCTCCAGTTGTCCCAGGCCCTTGGGGAGACGTGGAGAACAACCACGCACTGCTCTGGGGTCCAGGAAAGGGGCTTTTCCAGCACCCTTGTCCCATTTGCTGGTGACCTGTGGCTACCCTCATGTGATGAGCATGCGGCTTCCTGGAGGAAAGAAACTTGCATAATCAGATAGAAATAGGAATCTGGAAAAAAACTCAGTGGGGCATGTAAGGGATTGGGCAATGACTTATCTAGAAGGCTTTGGGCCATGAGAGGGGGTTGGGTGTCAGGGCAAGGAACCAGGTTTCATCTGAGTCATGGCTAAGAATCTAAGGAGATTTCTAGAGTGTGAGACTTCTGAGGGCTCAGGAGGCAGAGGGACAAACCCGCCAGCCCAGAAATTCCTCAGAGCCTTTTTACCCTTTGAGGTTCTGTGGAAAGGGTCCTTCCTTAGGAACGTGCATCTCTCATACCTCACCATGTGATGCCATCTTCCCCCAGAGCCTCTAGCTTTGCTCAAAACACAAAAGATTTTGTGTACGCACGTTCCGAGTGTACTTAGGGCCAGGGCAATGGAGACATGAACATTCGGATGGGCTGGATGTAGAGCGAACACCTCAGTTTTTTCACCTTTCATAATACAGACAGCAAATCATCATATTGTACGCCTTAAACTCACCCAGTGTTACTTAATAGCCTGGAAAGAAAAAAGGGTGAAAGTAGTGTGCCTGATACAGTGCCTGGAACGTGAATATTGGGAAACCCAGAGACATACTGACTGAGGGTTTTCAGTAATGGGTGCCTCTGCCCACAGACTCACAGGGACAGGACGTGAGTCCCAAACTTTTGTTGTTGGTGTTGAAGGCAAGAGGTGTTCCTTCTTTATAAAGACAGGCCTGAGAAAAGCTGCAAATTCTGTCGTGTCCCTGAATTCATGCTGAGGCCACACAATATCTTAGCAGCTGCCTGTATTCTCCCCCAGATCCCCAGAGAACCTTCTCTTCCAGGCATCCATTCTGGTTCCCCTCTTCACCCGCACTTCTGCCTAATTACATTTCTGCATAATTGCTTATGCTTGCCCCCCCCCAATGCCCTGTTGCCCCACCCCACTATTTTTCCCATTGAAATATGAGCTGTCTTTCCAGGCCCTGGTTCAAATGACACTTCCTCCAAGAAGGATTTAGTCATCAGAAGTGGTGACCCCTTCTTCCCCTCCACAACGTACTGTCCACACTGCTCTCTGGACCTGCCAGACACTGCCTTGCCTCTTGGGGACTTCTAGACATGTCTCAAAGCCACTATCACAGGTATCCTGGGTAGAGGAACCTAATCTTACATAGAGCTCAGGGAATATTCGATGGGCTAATGAATAACTTTTCTAGCCCTTGAAACCCACGGGCCTCCCGGAAATACTGGGGAACTGAGGGGTGGGGAAGGAGAAGGTTTTTCCCCTCCCTTATAAACCATTTCCTGGTCATCTGTCTCTCAAGGAATCATAGGCATGATGCCTTTCATCCCTGCATGTCAAGGTAAGGAAACCAAGGTCCAGAGAGTGAAAAGAGGTTCCTCAAGGTCACACAGCAAGTTAGTGGCAGAGCCAGGGCCTAGACTCGTGGTGTGCTCAGTTTAGTGTATTGGGGAGGCAGGGGAGTATTGAGGGGCAAAGACATAAATTCTGGGGCAGTCAGGGATACTTTGATAATTGAGTGATTTAAGACATGCAGAGTACTTAGATCAGCCCGAGCCCCAGAATAAGTGTAAGTGTTTATTGCTATCCCCTTTATTATTTTTCCTCTGCCCATCATTGGCAACTACTACCTCCTCCCACCAGGCCCCATCATTTCAGGGGAGAGAAGAACCCTGGGAGGACTAACTATGCCAGAACATCCTTCCTAGGCAGCAAGGAAGAAGCTAGTAGGTAGCTGTAGAGGACTAACCATCTGGTGTACTGACCCTAGGAGCGTAGGGTGACTTTCCTGGACCAACATAGACCCAAGGCCTGCCTTACTTTTTTGCAGGTGCCCAGCAGACTGGGTGAGTCAGGCACACTGCCTGGGCTGTCTGGCCTGACCAGGGGTCACCATGGCTCAGGGCAAGCAGCAGCCACAGGGTCTACCAAGCCCTGTCTCTCTATGATGCAGCCTTCAGACCCTCTCAAGCTAGGTCCTGGGAAGAGACAGGGTGCCCACAATCAGTCTCCATGTACTTCTCCCCTCCCTGAGCTGAAAGCAGGATTTCCCATCTCTCTGGTTGGAGGCACACCAGAGTCTGGAACCCAGGGAGTGACAGCTTCAGCAGACAGCCCCAGGGACTGGGGAGTTTGCCATCGCTGCAGGCCAGTAGCGTCTTATTTCTCAGACTCTCAACTTCTGTCCCCTGCCACAACACAGGAGGAGAGACCGGACAGGTGCTCACCCAGGGACTGCTTTTTCCCAGAGGAGCACCACAATTTGCTTCCACTACAATTACAAATGTAATTGCAAATTTGGGACCGGCCCAGGAGAAGGACTCTGAGAATTGAGACCACAGTTCCCTTAGTGGGCTGAACCACTTCCTGGTTTTTATTCCATTTCCATATTGGAGTCTGATTGGGTAAAAAGGAGTACAGCACTAAATGCTGACTGCTTGGCAAGGGAGCCCTGTGCTTTGGGGAGTTTTTAGTTGGGATTTCATGTGAACAGTTAGGAATTAATTAGAGCAGCAATCCTCTTGCCCCAAATATGATTTAGGATCCTGTTGTTTGCCCTTAGTCTGTCCAGAGAGCATGACCCCTCCATCTCATCCGACATCCCAATCAGCCCAGACAGTTGTTTTCCAGCTGGATGACCTGGGCTGGCTGAAACGTCTATACTCCCTCATTCCAGGGCCTTTGTGACCAGGAACAGGTTTCATTCATCCACTGAAACCACTGTTTTAAGGTACTGGGGTTACAGTGGGGAACAAGAGAGGTATGGTTTGAATCCTCTTGGGGGGCTCAGTCTAGCAGGAGAGACAGGCATTGAAGAGTTTACACAAGCACTGAGTAGGGGCACCTGGGTGGCTCGGTTGTTAAGTGTCTGCCTTCGGCTCAGGTCATGATCCTAGGGTCCTGGGGTCGAGCCCCACATAGGGCTGGTCCTGAGATCAAGGCCCACATCTGGCTCCCTGCTCAGCGGGAAGCCTGCTTCTCTCTCTCCCACTCCCCCTCCTTCCTTGTGTTCCCTCTTTCACTGTGTCTCTCTCTGTCAAATAAGTAAGTAAAATCTTAAACAAACAAACTGGTGGTCTGGTGGTTAGGGAAGGCTTCTTAGCAGAGGTGATATTCAAGTTAAGGTTGGAGGGAAGATGAAGAGATGTTCAGGCATTTTAGCTGAAAATAACATTCTGGGCAAAAGTTCTGAAAGCGCAAGAGAAAGCAAGGAGACTGTGCCAGATGAGGCTGAAAGGAAGTAAGGAGCCAGGCCACAGGGCCTCGTCTGCCACCAAAAGGATGTGGGTCTTTATTCTGAGAACAGTGGGTAGTGCGCTAGTTGCTGTGGGATGCTGGGAAAATCTTTCCTCCAGCTGGACCATCTTGTGATGATGTCAGCCTTGTGGGCCTGGGACTGCAAACCAACAGACTCCCGTCAGATGTGACCATTGTGTGGCTTTCTTTGGCCACCACAGCCAAAATTTCATTCTTTTCTACTCACCCTTCATTAGAAGACCTGTCACATGTGTTGGTTTCCTGCGTCAGCTGCTGACACCAGACTGGGTTCCTGAGACTGCGCTGTCTGGCCCAGGACAGAGTGCGGTGAGTTTGGGGAAGGGGGAAATTAGGTGTCACAAGGTTTCATGACTAGAACCTGAAAATGATGCCTTATATAAAAGATGGGTGCGCTGGGTCAGTTCCAGGAGAGAAAGCCAGCGCTAGGTTGACTCATCCATGAGGGAGGATAGTGGGGTGGTCCCTTTGGGGAAGGAGGTGACTGGTCTTCTGTGATCTTCTCAGACACTGTCTGCTATTCCCAAGGGTCTGCTCTAGGCCCCCAACTGGCTGCTGCCTCCCCCTTCCAAGGGCCGTGACTGCCCAGTGCAAGCTGCGTACAGGTGTGTACCTAGCGTCTGGGTAGGGGCATCCCTTGTGCAGGTGGCCTGGGCCAGACCGCTTCCTCTCTCTACCTCTAAGATTATAAAGATGAAATTTAGGGAGGACATCAAAGGCAGAATGCTGGGGAAAAGAACAGGGGGAGCGAGCATGCCAAAGAACCCTCCTTATTTCTGCCCAAACAAGTTACCGCTGTTGACATTTAGGGACGGTTCTGCATTTTGCGGGACACTTTAACATCTCCAGCTTTAAAATGCTCCTACAAAAATAATACATAAATAAGATGCTCCTACACATTTGCAAACACTTCCTGGGGGCTGGTACCAATTACCCCTTTCCCTGATGGAGAACCACAGTTCCCATGTTTATGGACACAGGGTATGCACAGCTGTGCTTTAGGTCTGAAGCTGGTGGCCTGGGACACTGGAAAAATCCCATTTGAGAATCTCTTAGAGACCCTTTTGTTTAGGGGGATGGTCATTCTTCCCAGGCTACTCATAGGGGCTCCTGATGTCTCCTGACCCCACAGGGAGTCCCTCCTGCCTTCCCTAGCCTGGTCACTCACAATGGTCGCCTGCAGCTCCATGCGGAATCTGGTGGGCAAAGCTGAGATTTTAGCTCAGGCATTTCCCAGCCTTCTCTGTTGGATTGTGGCCAAGGTTGGCAGGACCGCTTCTGGTGGGTGAATTGCTGCTCTGTTGGGCCACCAGATGGCACTCGGGAGACACCTCCCCCTCGGTCCAGCAGCCACCCCCCTCCCCAACCCGGCGCAGTCCTCCGCAGGGCTGCTGGTGGCTGGAGTGACTGCAGAGGGAACTTGCCTTAAAGAGGCCTGCTCCTTAAAGAGACACGGCCGCACACCGCAAACTTGTCCGGTTCACCCCAAAACAAGACCACTGATGACAAGCACCACCGCCTAGGCTCTGAGGCTCCTTTGTCATTGCCTTCTTGAATGCTGAGCTGCCAGCTCTTGGAGCCAGTCTCCTTGACAGCCTGTCCTGAGCCCCTGCGACCATTCCTGGGCCCAACAGGGACTGGGCCAGCTCCGGCTGGTGGCGTCACAGCTCCTGGCAGAGGAGCACAGGGCTGGGGTGCATCTGCAGAAGTCTGGCTGCAAGAACAAGACGCACAGCCAGCTGCAGGGGAGCGGCGGCCACAAGAGGGCAGGGGGCTGGCCTGGGAGCTCTGACCCCAGGGGGGGCACACCATTGCTGCACTCTTGGACCTGGGAAGCTTGGAACCGCTGAACTTTGTCTCTGGGTTTGGGGGTCTTAGAGAATCCTTCCGTCTCTTCTGGCCTCTTTCCAAACGCGCTGATGGGGATGCCGTGGTGAGTAAATTAGGAAGGGGGCTCCACCCCCTACTGTTGAGCCCTCTGATCCGCTCTCCAGGAAGCCTCTCACGTTGACCTCTGGGGGGTACAATCTGAGCCAAGTTGGATGAGGGCCACTTTAGGGGCTTGGCATGAGACCCTCCTGAAATTGCAGCTTACCCAATATAATCTGAGGCAGCTACTCAGCCCAGGAAGCTAGGCTCACTGTGGCCGCTGGCCCTGGGGGAGCTAGGCTTCCCTAGAGCCTCTGGGAACTGTGTGGGGCCACGCCGGGAGCTTCCCAGCTACAGAGACTGGGATGGCACTCTGCCTCTCCCCGGCCACCATGCTGAGGGAGGCGACAAGGGCGTGAATGCAGTTCTCTGGTTTACATCTTGCCAAGGCTGCAGATTATTTATGACTCAAGCTGACACAAACTTTGATGGAGAAATAAATAATTGGGGAAGGCTTTGAGTTCATCTGTGCTGTCTATAGATCTCACTGTCTCTGGAAATATAAGAGGCTGGGAAGAGACAGGTAGGGAGAGGACAAAGGATAGATAGAACTGTCTGGCCAAGCCTGGGTCCCTGAGAGGTGATGACCCAGCAGACGCCTAAGGAATTTCCTGCTTTCTAGGCCCAAGGTGGCAGTGAAATGAGCCTCGGAACAGTGCCACTTTACTGGACCAAGGTAAAGGAAATGAAGCCAGGAGCCAGAAACAGCCCCGCAAGGTCTGCTAGGAAGCAGAGTTTATGGTCTGCGAAGGCAGGTAGGAAGCCTGGAAGTTGTCTGCCTGATCTATGAGGGCACCCACCCAGAGATTTGAAAACTGAGCTGGGGAAGACTAGAGACTGGCCCAAGGCATAGAAGCTGTGGGGTTAGTGGACACTGGAGTTCAGGAGATGGTCACTGGATTGATTGCATCCAGATTGTGTCCAGGGTCATTGGCCCTGTTGTGGTAGATGTGGCTTGGAGAACCAGCTCTCCTTTTGCTTAATCATTGGTGGGCTCGTGGGCAGGGGTGGGGAGGTGGTTGGGTGTGTGGGTAGGGTTTCTGGAATTACACTGCCTTGCATTCCTACTATGGCTTCAATGTCTTTCTCCGAGTTTAGCTTCATTCTGTTCATTCATTTGTTCACTCATCACAGCCCAATACAGAGACTGTACACATCTCAGATCATTTCTAAGTGTCACCAGCTGCTAGCTGGCCGATACGTAGCCTGTCTACTTCTAGGGAACGGGAGAGAAGAGCAGTACCTGTCTTGTTAGCTTATTATAAGGATTAAGGGAGATAATCTACGTGAAGCCCATAGAGCAGTGTCCCACACCCAACAAGCACTGGGCAAACGTCAGCAGTCATTCATTTTACATATTCAACCTATAATGTTAGAAGCCCGTCTGTCGGGCTTTGGGCAGAGAGTCTGGTCTGGGGGCACAATGTGGTTATGGCTGCTTTAGAGTCTGCCTGAGCCTCAGTCATCTACTGGGCGGAGTGCTTTGGATACCCCAGTGGGGAGGAAAAATGCAGTTCCAGCTTTTAAAGAGCAGATCTGGCAGGAACGGTACAAAGTCTTGTTTTTTTGGCTATCATAGTCCGGTTTTTGTTTTTGTTTTTTAATTGGAATGCAGAGGCCCTCCACCCTCTCCTGTACCTCCAGCCTATGCACACTGGTGCCCCCTGCCAGCCCCAGCATGGGGAAAGGTGCATGGACATCCTTTTCACCAGCAGTGACCTCCGGGTGATCAAGGAAGCAGGGACTTCCTGGCCTTCCTCTTGTGCACAGTGGAGCTGGGCTGCTAAGTGAGGAGGGAAGAAAAGCGGTAGCACCAAGTTTTGGTTTAAAGCACAGTTACCCTTTTTCCATCTGGCTAAGTGGCTGGTAGAAGCGAGAGTCGGTTGCTGGGAAGGCAGTGAGCAGCACACCTGTGAATTAAGGGCAAGGCCGCTGACCTTCAGAATGGGATACATCTCCTTACCATTCAGCCTCTCATCCACCGCCCAGTGCTACAGTCAAGGCAGCCGACCCTTCAATCCCCCCTATGTGCGTGGGTGGTAAGGCAGGAGCAGGTGGTCAGCAAGGCCAGTAGGGAGCTGAGAGCAGCCTCGTGCACAGGCTTAGGGAGGGCTGGCGACGGTGGAGAATTTCACCCAAAAACCTGGATAGAGAATGGTTCGTGTGGGCTTGGAGGATGAAGTGTGTTGGGTGCTGATTCAGTGCCTTGGGGTTTGAAGGCAGATCTACGCTTCGCAGAATCAGGGCGGTCTGTCCACAGGAGAGCCCCTCCCTTGCTCAGACAGATTGGGGTTGCTGGCAGAGCACTTAACCTTTGGCAAAATGCAGAGGAGAATGATTCCTTAACTCCTTCCTTCCTCGAATGTCAAGTGTGGTATTGGGTCTCCCCAAACTCCTCCCCACCCTCGGTGCCAGGAATCGGGAGGCTTCTTTTCCAGTCTCGAATCACCCTGGTGCTCAAAGGCCCATACACTTGTCTCCCAGCCAAGATTAGAGTCCGGCTGTGTGGTGTTAACCGATCTACTGAAAGCCACCAGAAATGGCTTCAAGGGCATCTTGGAGTAACTGCCCTTTCCTGGGATGTGTGTGCGAGAGACAAGTGTGTGGGGATTGAGGAGGGCTGGGAGGGCTACTCAGTGCCTCCGTTTTCTCATCTAGAAAATTCAGGGAGCTGAGATGGCAGTGAGGTTCACAGTGAGATGGTCCTGTAAGCAAAGCACTGGGGTCCAAGCCAGGTGCTCCGCAGACCATCTCCGTTAATTACCACAAGCGTTCCTCCTTACTGCCTCCAAGATTATTCTCTCCCTGTACCCTATATTGTGTTCTGGAGTGGGAGGTCCAGGATGGGATTGGACAGAATGTAGGGGAAAAAAAAAAAAAAAAGCAAACTGTGGCAATGCTAAGGAGAGCAACTGTAACATTTTAGCTTGAAAATGCTGAAAATAGCATGTTCAAGCCTTTGTAGATAAAAATGTAAAATGTATGCAAATGTATGTATCTCACGCAGAAACATACATCTCCGGCCTCCTGACAGTGAGTGCCCGGATGTGGCCATCAGGAAAATCCCTGCAGCATACAGAAAGAGCCCAGGCTGCCTCAGTGGTGCTGGTTATTATTGGGGAGGGGCCCGTGGTGCTGCCTCCCGGGGCTGCGCTCCTGTTGCCACCTTTCTTCTGGGTTCCGTGCCTTCTGAGAGTCCCACGTGGAAGGAGAGGCTCTGGGCCCCTCTCCGCTCCTCCACCCTCACCATCCTCCCTCTGGTTCCTCTGAGAGCCCGTTTGCTTCCTCTCCCATCCCGGCTCTATTTCTGGAGCATCTCATTGGAGATGCACACCACCCCCCCTCTGCCAAGCTCCAGGTGCCTGCTTGGTCCTCCCAGTCTTGTGTGCAAGTCAGGGATGGTGGGAGGGTGACAGCTGAGCAGGGAGGGGCCTCAAGAGACAGAGTCAGAGTCTGAGCCAGGAGAGTTGAGTTGGGGGCGAGCTGAGTGAATGTGGGGAGGGGCCAGTGTTACCTCACAGTGGAAAAACACCCACTGGAGCCACCTATGAAGGCTTTCCATGCCCTCCCCCCTGCACCTACGGGGGCTCACCTCACCTGCTGTGAGTTGGAGGCCTCTACCCCAGCTGGGGCTGGTTGCACGCTTCCTTTCAGCATTGTGGGTGAGGGTCTGCTCCTCCCCTCAAGAAGAACTGGATCTAAAAAAAAAAAAAAAAAAAAAAAAAATCTTTAAAAAAAAAAAAAAAGAAGAAGAAGAAGAACTGGATCTGTGGTTGTTTGGGAGGATGCGGAGCCCTGCCGCCATTTGGGTGGGTCCAAGGAGAGCTGAGTCCCATGGAGCCTTCTGCTTCCCTTCTCTTGGGTTCAGGAGAGGAGCTTCAGTGGCCCCTGCCCTTGCCCACCCTCCCTTCCCTCTCCTCCCTCCCCAGCCCTTCAGAGTCCTTTGGCCAGAGGAGGCCTAGAGGACCAAATCTGCAGAAAAGTTGCTTTGGGTCCCGGGAGATGGGCATAAAGCCCCCTCAACAGACTCTTCACTGCTCTTGGGAGATCTTACCAGGAATTTCATTTCTAAAGGTTCTATTCACAGAGCCACCTTGCCCCCAGACTTCTCTCAGCTTGTATGTGATTATGCATGCAAGGTATGCCTCCTGGGCTGCAACTGTAGGTCCCCAAGGAAGTCTCCTGGGGAACCCAGTGAAGACCCTGGAGTCTCTCCTGTCTCCAGTGTGTTCTCCACTGACCCTCGTCGACCCCCAGCCCCCTGACTTTCTCCAGCCGCTGCCCTCTGGTGTGTTGGGCAGAACGGCCGGCGTTTAGGTCAAGGGTGTTTAAACAGATGAGGTAATTAAGGTTTGGAAGGAGTGTCCCGGCGGCCAAGGCTTTCCTTAACCCGGTCCGCGCCGCCCCCCCAGGCTTGCCTAGGGGAGGGGCCTGACGGCCGCACCAGCCCCAGAAACTGCGCTTAGAGATCCTGGGGTGGCAGGTGATGTCACCCCTGCGGGGCCCATAGGTCTCCCCGCGGCACTTAGTCTGCGGGCTGCCAGAATTCGGCTGAGCCCAGCGAGGGGAGGAAGAGGCGCCTGGGCCTCCGCCGCAGCCCGGAGACCCCCCCCGCGGGACCACTCCTCGGTCACCCGCTGGAGCCCCTCTCGCCTGGCCGTCCGAGGGGACTGGGGCTGCTCCCCACACCCCCGACCGGGTCTGGAGGCGTGCTGCGGCGGGGGAGGGGGCGCGGGAGCCTAGCGCCGATTGGTCGCGGCCCCCGCCCCCCGTCCCTGGCCGCCGCGCAGCCCCGGGGAAGTTGCTAGTCTGCGGGCGGGCTGCGGGGCCGCCGCTCGGGGATCCGCAGCGGGGCTTGCCGGGGCCGCAGTGGCCGGAAGGGCTCCCGGGGGCGCTCGCTTGCGCTCGCCCGCCCTCCCCTCCTCTTCCCGCAGCTCCGCCTCGCTCCTCCCTGCTACCTGTTTCCCTGCCTCCCCCCGCCTCCACCCCGCGCCCGGCAACTTCGGCCTCCGGGGCTGGCCGCCCCTCCCGGCTCCCCGCCGGCCGGCCCGCCCGCCGCCCGCGCCCTCCCTCCTTTGTTGTGCGATGAGGGTCGGGTTTCCGATCTGACGGAGCCGCCGCCGCCGCCGCCGCGCCGAGCCGCGGGCATGGAGCCGCTCAGCCACCGGGGCCTGCCGCGTCTCTCCTGGATCGACACCCTCTATAGCAGTACGTGTGCTCTCGGGCCGGGTAGGCCAGGCGGGAACGGGTCTCCGCGCCCCGACGGTCCTGGGGCGCGACCTGCTGGGCTTGTCTGGGGAGCCCCGCGCGGGGCTGGGGGCTGCGGGCACCGCCGGCCAGGTGCCAGGGGGCCGGGAGGTAGGGCGGATGGGGGGACAGGTGGCGGTCCCCCCAGCGATCGGCCGCAGATAGGGTCCCCGGAGCGGACTTCGAGCGGGTCGGGGGCCAGTGGCCCGACAGAATCCGGAGAGCTGTGTCACCCCTTTCCCACCTGTTGTGTAACTGAGCACTCCCCAGCCCTCAGGAAGGAGAGCTCTTGTAGGGTGCTCCCTCCGCTTCCTTCTGTCCACGCTGAAGCAGAAAGGCCATTTTGGCAAAGTCCTTGGCGCTTGAGTTTGTCACCGCGGGGACATCCTGGGGCCGTTGAGTGTTTGGGGGTGGAGGTGGGGTCGGTTGGAAGGGACTCTAGGTGCAGATTTCCATGGGGGCCATTTGGATCGAAGGAGCTGGAAACCTCCGGCTCAGCAGTCTTTCCTGCCCTCCTCATCACTTCCCCCATCCTCACCAACCCCCAAAAAAGAAAAAAAAAAAAAAACAACAACAAAAAACAAAAAAACCAAAAACCTCGGCTTCTCCACCCCCTCGCTCCCAAATCTGCCTCAGTCATGTGATTGCTCTTGCGCTGCCGCCTGGGATGTGTAACTGGTCACCCGTACATTCTGGGGGCTTGTGGAGAACGGTGAGCGCCCTCACTTTACACCCTGCCTTGCAGAGGTGACGGAACCTCCGACCTTCTCTCCACCTCTCCCTTGAAGCACCTTCCCCAAAGCTTTCAGTGAGGTCGGAAGAGGGTCCTACTGGCCCCTGCAGAAGCTAGTGAGTGGCTTTTGCCTTCTCTGAGCACTTCCGGGGGACCCTCCCACTCTCTCGCTGTGTCTGCTAGCGCAGATTTCTGAGGCAGGGGTCAGGGGTTCCGGGAGGCGGGGGGCTAAGCAGTTTCTGGACACTTGCCATGGGACAAGGACATTTTTAAGGGTTACCCTGGCTCAAATTTCTTGGTGACAGTTATATGGAAAGAGAGAGGAATGGACAAGGATGGTGCCTTGAACCCCAAGACCTTGCCCTGGAGGTTCCTCAGTACTCATCATCCAGCCTCTGACCTCTGTATCTCCTTGGGTCCCTATCATTCCCTGTACCTTCTCCTCCCTCTTCTCCTTCCTCCTCCCCTTCCATCCCCCCCCCCCCAGCTCTCCTTGTGATGGTTCATTCCACTTTGGTTTTTCAACATCAAAGGGGCAAAGCTGGATCCCCTGGGTGTCAGTCTTACACTGAGCCCAGCCACTCCATCTGCTCCTTCCCTGGCAGAGGCCAGCACCATTGGGTGAAGGTCAGGGCCCATGGCTGTGCGGCGTGTGTGTGCACACGTGTGTCTGCGTGAATGAGGGCATACATCTGTTCAGAGCCCTGCTATAGATCCACTCCTGACCCCCAGGAAGGATTAGTGACCTCTTAGCTGTGCTCTTGCAAATAACAGTAAACACAATGCCTCATATTCACGTGCTGCTTCTGTTCCTGAATATTCCTGGCCCTTTTGCAAAACCCAGTAGTGATTTCCCTACTTCTCAGTGCATAGAATCCTATGGAGATCTGTCTCTGGCTTTCTCTCTATTGCCCTAACAGAGACTCCTCAACCTAATTATTCCAAGTTTTCCTATCTCTCCCCACAACCACCACCCTTTGGAGCAGGGAAGCCAAACTGTCTGAGAGGTCTCCTTGAACATTACTGCTGACCAGAGGAAGATAGGACCTGGACAGGGCACTGGACTGAAGCGTTCTTTGGGGGTGTCTGCTAAGCAGGCCTGACGGAGGCAGGCTGGCATCAGAACTGTCTGCCGTGCTTCTTGCTGCCCCTGCCCCTGGGCTCCTGGGACAGCCCGGGTTGGGGTCGGGGGAGGCGCTGAGTTGGCAGTGATGTGAGGAGTCCCTGCCTTCCTCCTGAAAATGGCTTATGTGAGAGCCACAGAATGAGGCTTCCTGGGGAGGTGCTGTGCAGTCATGTTTGGGCTGTTAGCCATGAAGTTTCCTCTTGACAGGAGCCTCAATTAAAACAAATACCCGGGCTGTCATTTGCCTGGCAGCCTGGTTTTGTGGCTCCCAGAGGAAGTTGCTCTGCCTCTCAGAAAGCTGTTTGCTTACAAGGCTCACAGTCCTGGGGGGGAAGTCCCCACAAAAGCTACATCCAGCGGCATTATAAAGGGGATGTCTTCATGGCACAGGGTGGCCCGTGTATGTCTCAGAGATGTGACTGGACTCCCCCCCCCCACCCACCCACCCAGTGATAGGGGCCATTTCCCAGTGCTGCACCTGGTAACCAGGATAATAGCATATCCTGAGGAGCTTGAACATGCTAGGCACTATGCTGGGCTCTCTCTAGCCATCCTCTTCAAGCCACACAACTGAGCAAGACTTGTGGTCTCATCTCCATTTTGCAGGAAGAGAGCTATGGTAAGCTCTGATCATGATCCAAAGTCACATAAATGATAAGTGACAAGGCTAGAATTCACATCATTCCCCATGTTGTTGAGGAAGACTCTGAGCGTCACCTAGAGACGTCTGAGCTTACCCAAGGCCTTGGGATGTCATGGGATGGGAAGCATCTGTCTCTCTGGTCCTCTGTTAAAACAGGATTCTTCCTGAAATGGTCCAGCAGGAAAAGTGACCTCAGTGATTGTGAGCCCGAGCTGTCCCCTGTGTCTCTTGCGGGAACTGAGAGCTGGTCCTAGAGCCATTGTGGGGGGCAGTTGAACTCACTGAGGTTGGTGATTCTCTACTTGTAAGGTGCCAGACTGCCAACTGGCCCCTCCTCTGACTTGCTTCTTGCTTTCGGGGATGTCAGCTCATTCTTCCTGGCTTCAGCATCGATGCCGGGAGGAGTGTGCACATTTTCATTGCAGGTGGATGGGAGTTTGAGAAGAGGTAGACAACAGAGCCCCTTTGTCCCTATGGTAGAAGTCCGGAAGGGATGCTGTGATGGGATTTGTCTGACCTGAGAAGATGAGTTGACTCCCAGCTACCAGTGCGTTATGGGGCTGGTTGGAGCAGGGTCTTTGCTCCCGACAAGCTGGAGTGGCAGATGAGGCTTCCAGCCACCCCTTCTTGTCTCTGTACCACTCGTTTTCCTACATTAATGTAATAACATCAGCTTTGTCCCTTGGGGCCTTGCCTCGACTCTCCCCCCATAGCTGGCGTGATTCTTTCTGTAGGGCTGCGTTCTTCCTTTTATCTTCTCTATGTCTTTCTCTCATCCCCTTCTCCACTGAGCTCTTAACCACTCTCTCGGTTTTCTTCTATAGCATGGGATAAGGTTGGATTTAAATTAAGTTCTGTGGAATAACAAAGTGGGGGATGCTCTGAGCCTTCCCCTCGGAGTGGATACCATATCCTCCAAACAGCTGAACTGAGATATGGATGGCGGGCAATGATTTGGAACCTCTTCAAATGGGAAGTCTTTCTTTTTTCACCCCAGGCAACACTTCCAAGGCATATTTCTGTCACTTGTGATATTTCCATGTCTCTTGTAGACTCCATACCCTATCCAAGAGCCCAGAAAGCATTTGGGGCTGTGGGCATACAGCCCATCTGTGGGCATACATACGCATCTCCAGACCATCAGGAACCAGCCTCAGTTTCCCATCTTACTCCTCTGTCAGCCACACCAAGGATCCGGCGACTGGCCTGACAGACTGTGGGTCTGATCGGAGCAGCTGTCTCACTCCAGCCGCATCAGACCACCCCAGATGTCCTTGTGAACACCTGCAGTTGGGTGCTTTTTCCCCCTCTGAAAAGCCCCAGCGTTTATTCCTTCTCGTTAACACTGGTCCATTATTGTCACGGCTGCTGGAGTCTCGGAGGTGGGGCTGGCAGAATGAAGTCATCTACTTGGAGGAGAATTTTTGTTACTGTGATTGTTGCTGCTGTTCTTTGGAAAACAGAAGAAATGACAGGAACATTTGTGAAGAATTAGCTAAGTGGGTAGAAGACAGGGGAATAGGGAGAGAACCCGTTCCGCCTCACTCTTGCAGGTGGGACGGAAGACTTGGGTTGCTCTCTGAGGTCTGGTCTGGTTCCTGGGTGCCCTGTGCGTACTTCTCTGTAATGCGAGACCATGATGTCTCTCGTACATTCCGCGCTGATTCATTCATGTTTATAAGCTGCTTTGAAGGTGAGGAGTGCTGTGGGACTGTTGCTCAGCTATCCAGCTCCTCGTGGTTCTCATTACAAACAGAAGTCTGTGAAGGGCTCGCTGATGAGTGGAAAAGGGCTACGAAGGGGGTGAGGGGGCTGGCAGGTACAGAGTGCTGTACCTGGTTCTTAGGTGGTGCCTAGGCCAGCTCCCCCTGAAACATAAGCCTTCAGTGATTTTTGGTAGCATGAGTATGAGAGGGAGAAGGAAACTCCTGGGTTCTTGGCTCCTTTAACTTCTTACTCCACCAGAAATCCCAGAAACCCATTCATTGGCCCATTCACAAGTTTCCAGCTGTGTGGATTTGGTAATTGTAGTAGTTTGCAACGGAGTCAGAGACCCCCCAAGGGAGTTCCACGCGTTGCTAGGGCTTGTGATTGTGCAGTTAGAAGACTTCACTGTCAGAGTTGATCCTGTAGCTGTTTGGCTCAGCTTGAGCCCTTTGGGGACAAACTGGGAACTAGGCAGCTTCACTGTCAATTCCACGTCCATCCTTGTTCACCTCTGCCAGGCCCCTGGCTGTGGCAGGTGGAAGCAATCCATGGGGCTTCAGTACCCATCACTTTCTACCTACAGGGTCTTAGCACTTTCCATTGAGTACCAGTAGGAAGAGGCCTGCAGCTTACCTGTCTCCAGAGCAGGACAGGAGAGACTGATTTTGGTTTGTGGCCTTGTGCATTTCTTGGGGCAAGATAGGGTCACGTGGAGCCATGAGCCGTGATACTCCTGACTGGCAGTGGGAGTG